CTGGATAAAACGTTCAGGTCCGTATGACTTCTTTTTCTTGACTATTCAAATGCGTTCGGAAGTCTTGTGCGATCAGTTCTGCCTAACCTACTTTATTTGAACGGAGTCCACCCTGATAACTGCAATTTGTTGCGCGACTACTTCACTGATCGAATGCACTTTACGACAAAAGCTCCTCTATGCTCCGCGCTGACAGGTGCTTTGCAGGGCGCAGTTTTCTCACCCGTTTTATTCTCTTTATATGTCGCGTCTCCTCATACCATCAGCATTCATTGGATGTAGGTATGCTGACGATGTTGACTTGGGGTGCAGTTCTCCCACCACTGAGACGTCTACGCTTCAATGTGGTTTAGATGAACTTTGGAGTTGGCCCCCAACCAGTTCCATTAAGCTTAATGCTTTGAAATGTACTGATGTAACATTTTCAATTCTCCGCCCTGATACGTTGAGATACCTCTCCTCTATTAACTTTGGATGACAAAACCATTCCCATTCGATCCACTGTCAAATATCTGGGTGCCTATTTTTCACAAAACCTCTCTTGGTCCATACATGTTTTGGAGACCTTTCACAAGGTCAGTGTTATCTTTTTATGCTTTCCAATTTAAGAAGTTCTCCGTACCGCAAAGTGTAATTTTGATATTTGTAACTGCATGTATACTACCACACTGGTTGTACTGTTCTCCAAGTAATCCCTTTGCTACTGCAGAAGGACTATGTCCTGATTGTACGATCGATTAGACATATTTCCAGATGTGGTGGCTTGCCGAGAGATTCCATGGTTGATGTTATTGCTCGTAAGCATTTCGACGCTTGCATGAATGTTTCTTCTAAGGCTTTAAGTGACCGCTCTCATTCGCTACACGATGCTATCTCACTAACGTTATCTGTCTCTTACACACGCTCAAAATTTAGGATTTTATTCCCTCGAATTTCTTCTTATCGTAACACAATATTGCCTTATTTGTCACACTGACCTGTCGACCCGATGAAAGTCATAAATGCTTTGTGTACACGGTTGCTTGAATGACATTCACACATCTATGACTATTTAATTCTTCAATCTGTGTGTATATCTTTCTAACTGGTCCTATTCAGTTAATGTATCCGCAGTGATAGTGTAAACGCTGATAATGCACGTATTTAGATGTACAAAGCCTATTTTGACGACTTGACTGAAATGGTTACTTCGCGTATCAACGAGGCCCGTTTGGCTTTCCAGAGGCTCAACCGTCTATGGAGATGACACGATATCAGCCAGTCAAAGGCAGGCTGTATAACGCTACGATAGGGCTGTTGCTGGATGGATCAGAGACCTGACCAGTCCGCGGCAAAGACATTAAACGCTTGGCCGTGTTTGACCACCGATGCTTACGCAGTGTTGCTCACATCTGATGGGAACACTGGGTAAGCCATACTGAGGTCCGCCAGTTGGTTTTTGGCAAGAAGCGTCGTGGTGCCTCACTCGAGTGTTTGCTGAAACTTAATCGCTTACGTTGGGTAAGTTTGTTTGCCGACTTCCTCGGTGTGCATTATACGCCGTAGCTGCACCAAGTTGGGCGAAATCTCGAGATGTTTAGTCCATGACGTGGCATCGAGGCATGAAGAAATTGACTGAGAAACCTGGTCAGGCTGGTGCGTGCTGTTTTCCTTGATGGGGGCTACGGACGGTTCACACCCATGGGTGGAGACCGTGTCAAACATGGCGCAGTCACGAAGTCAGTGACATACTTGCATTCGGTCTCTTTCATCTGTTTGTTACTTTTCATCCCCTTCTGATTAGTCTAACGCATTTCCTTCTTGCTTCTATTTTGTATACATTCTATTCGCAATCAAACCTACTGGCCTACCGCTGTGAATCGCGGCAACCGGACCCACCGCGCTTCTGTGCTCGCATCTACTGAACTGCATAACCAGTGCATCAGACACAAGATGAGCTATGTTGTCCGCTTACTTCAGGTTTTCAGTCGGTCATCTGGCAGAACTTCCACTCCAGAAGCGTCTGAAAGAGGTAATCCATGATCGTTTCGATCACAAAGCTGAAGAGGAAATGAGATATAGGACAACTCTGGCAAACCCCGCTTGTCGTGGGGAACTCAGGAGATAACTTCGTACAAACCATTACACAGTCCCTTTCGTGTATCAGACAGGATAACTTCGATGGTTAACAGAAATAGCAGCTGGTTCTATCTCCGATGCATGAGACCACCAATTTTCGCTGCGTCTCTTCTGACTAACATGCCATTTCTCCAAGTGGTCTCTGCGAGTCTCATCGTGTTCACTCCCAGCAGAAATGTGTCAGTGACCATCCAGAAGTTCCAGAGAATACATAGAGACAAAGTATTCATGCTCGCAGTTGGACTAACCACACGATGACATGCCTGCTGCTAATCACGTTTGTCAGATGTGACCAGTGACCTTCAACTGTGTTAAGCGAGCACCTGTGTTCGCCAGTTGATAGGGTGTCTATGCGCTCGCAACGTCGTTGAGGGCATCTGCCGAAACGCACCATGTTAGCACACAGTTATATGGCCAGAGTCCACGCTGGCTCTCTAAATCGAGTGGCAGTTTCTGGTGCAGCCCCTCCTGCGGTAACTCATCCCGATGGGATCGATTGGCACTGGAGGCCAGTCAGAAGCTGATGGGCGCCCTGTCACTTTTCTGCGAGTGCTGTGTCGGAACTTGGTGCTTGTGAGAAACGGACGAGCGTCTATACCCAGGTGGAACATTCCCACACGATTATAATTACAGGAGGCTAAACCGTGTTGGCTTATCGGACGCAGGTCATCAGTGGAGATGTTTACAACTTAATCGCTTAGATCACCAGCTAGCACTACATTATCAACACCGCTGCTACTCAATCAGTTGATGATACAAGTCACCTTCCAATGGGTCAGCGCTACAGTTTGTGAGGCCGTAAACAGCAATGACAAATATGTACCTATTGGCATCGCACCACTCCGGAGATTTAAGCAACCCAGCTACTTGCACAGCGCACATCCAGCAGAAAAATGAAAGGAAAGGTATCAGCAGTACGCCGGGACGCAGCAGTGATGCTTCGCCACCAACAGTCGCGCCTAGGCTAAGGATATTGTGAGGGTCGCTCGGTTCCGTGCGCAGGCTCCAACCCGGGACCTCCGGATTACAAGGCAATCGTGTGATCCTTATGACCACGGGCCGGCTACTAACTGAGATCCAGTTTACCATATCAGCACCAACTCGGGAGCTAAGAGCAATGGCTAGATCGGCATTCTAAGCCGTATTATCTCGGGATAAACGCAGTGATAAACTACCAACAACGTCACATGGCGATCGTAGAGTGAACAAAGAGCTCGTATTGCGAGCGACTTTCCGATAGATAGCAGATAGAGATCGGTAAAGTCTCTAGTGTTCGGTCGTATTGCTTAGTGTCGGCCGGTGGCCGAGTGGTTGGCACGTTTGCTTTCCAACCATAAGGTCACCCGTTCGAATCCGCGTAGGGGTGGGCGTCCTCGCGGTATACTCAGCCCGCGCGCGACTGGTGGTGGTCGCGCGGCAGCGAAGCGCCGTTACGGCGTATAAGCTGACACATTACGTATTGCTTAGTGATCGATCTAAAACAGATTGCGTACGCTGAAGCATGCCAGTCTTGATGGATATCAAGGATCCCAAATAGAAGCGGAGAAACTGTGCTTGTCCGCATTATTAGAGATGGACTTGTTGACAGGACAGAAGGGACCCTCCAGAATTGTGCATCGAAACTAGAAGACGAACACCTATGAAACCAATGTGTGGGAGGTCTAAAAATTAAGTGGTTAAATACAAGGATGATAAAAGGGTAGTTGAATGAGATGATGAGGGTAAAAACTAGAAGAAATACGAAGACGGAAAATCATGAGCAGTAACGTCCTCGCTCCTATCCAGTTCGCTCGATGCAACAGATAAAGAGCCCTTGATAATCTTCCGCGACGGTCCGAGCATCACAAAATTGTGTTCAAAAGTCATGTGGTTGCTCGTAGTTACGGGGACAGGTGGAACCGGAAACTGAGACCGCATGCCACATGTGTGTGGCACACGCAGATTAACATCGTTATTTGAGCACCCAAGGAACTGGACCAAAGGGGTCAGCATACAGAGGTCCGGATCCAGAAGGTTTACATGGTGAACGTCCAATTAATTAAAAACCGGACGACTTAGGAAGATGGTCGGGATATGGATGTGGTCAACTTCAGAGGTTTTACTAAATATTCGCATATATATATTTGGTGGCATCTGGTTCCGGAGGTACCTGTTACTGCAGCCTCCACGAGGATAGCCACAGGACGTCTGCACCTACTCAGTGACCAAGAACGGCTTGCACTGCACCACACACACACACATACACCACATACCCAGTGTAAATCCGAAGGAATAAGCCAGGCATGCATGCGGATGGGAACCACGTTACAACAACTGAGACGGCCCACACTCCTTCAACATGTTCAGCAGCAGCATTCATACCTAATGGGGGAACCATGGGTACCAGACGTACACAAGACGGTGGTTGGACCGTGGTCCACTCCACACTGGTTGCATGGAACCATTTTTCGAGTCTAGCACGGCCACCATGATTGTGCACCACGTCTCCCAGCAACAATTCAGTCTTAGAGTCAGTAGTCGAGGTGGAGGTGGAGGGTGCTAGACATGTAGGCACCTTGTCAACATTCGCATCAAGCTCATCCACATCGGGGATATCAAAAAAACAACATGGAATTTGTGGGAAAGCAAACACGCGAAGTTGACACAGAATGTGTGCCAGAATAACTACATTGAACAAATCAAATAAAGTAGAATGGCATTAATCCACATTAAAAGTGTTAGTCGGTGTAGCCCGACTGCAGGGAGGATGCATGATGTATGCAGCATCAACCTCAGCGTTGGCATATATATATATATATATATATATATATATATATATATATATTGCTACTTCTATCTCAGTGTCAATGAACCAACTTTGCCTCTGTGTTTTATGTTTGCAGTCCGCAGATTTTCTTCGGCCTCTCATTTGCTACAGTATTCCCCGGAACAGGAACTTTCGACGCCCAAATCGGGCACTAAGCACGATTCCATCTCCTCCCTTTCTGTAAGTTTTTGTCGTGATCAGTGCTCTGGTGAATTTATTCTTTTCCAACTAAATTCGTGTTTTCAGCCCACTCAATCTTACGTTCGTTAGGCGAAGTTATTTTATCTTGTCATTTTCGTTTTTAAGTGCGTTCTCGCGGTCTTTTCTGGTCTTTCTGATGGATAAACGAAGGCTGTGGACTAGCTCTTTTTCTACTATACTTTGAATTTCTTAGGACATATAGATTGCTCCAATAAAAGAACCCCATGGTTGTTGCAACACAAATGCTTCCCGAAATAGGCAGCTGAGTAATTAGTACTATTTTTGGCTTTTTGTTGTTGTCTTGTCTAGTCAATAAACTGCTATTCTATAAAGCGGAAAATCTGCACTGCGCATTTCTGCCGAACCTCACAAAATTTGTCCACGCGACACTGTTTTCATGCAGCGGGGATGTAGTTCATTCCGGACGGAGAAGATTCTTTCTCATTCTTTAGATCTCGGTAACTGTTTGAATTAATATGTACTATCAAAGGACCATTCTTATCGTGGAGACGTCGTAGCTCTGTGGCCAACCGCGTCCTTTGCACAGTAGTGGCGTATGAGCCGCGCTATATCGCATCCGATACCCTATGCATGTTATCAAGATTGTTTGTCTTAATTCCCGAGACTTGACTCGCTGTTTTACGACGAAAATGATCATTATTCCGTATCCCTTGGGGTTTGCCTGGGATGTGCATTGTTCCATTCGAAGGAAACGGTCGTCCTGCACATTTGTGGGTGTGTAGTGGCTGTTTGACTGAACTTGATTGTGGCGGTTCTCAGTCATACGCTATTTGAAATACTGACGAAATCGTAATGATCCACTCATTCGCTGCCAGCTTTATTGTCGCATACCGGCTTCCGAGCATCATGAACCCACGCTCTCCCTATCAATCTGCGGATCCTTGCTTACACTGCTCGATTGCTTAGCATCAGTCTCCTTGTGCCGCAACAATAAACTAGCCCTAGTCTACAATCGTCCATTTAGTGTTATTTTGTTAATCAGGCCATATATCTGCAGTATTTGTGTTTGCCTTGCTGGCACACGTCGGTCAGTAATTGACCAAAAATAGCCAAACCCCATTCAACCTACCTTTACTGCTTATCCGGGCTGCGTAAGTGGTAGTATCCCATGGAAATCCGTGACTCACTTGAGCTGTTCAGTGCACACATACTCCTCCCGCTTGAGATGACTTCTCTGACCGTACTCTTTTTCTCCTTCCTTTGTTTCAGCCTATTCTGTGGTACAATCCATTGCTCGGTTTGTGGATGCTCGCGGATATCAACTGGTGGTTTGTAGCGCTGCTTTCTTTGTATTTGTTCTTCGCTGTGTACACAGCCAACCTCGCTTTAACTTCGGTGTGCACACCGCGGATGTACGCGGACTGGTTTATTCTGCCGAACGATTGCACTGCGGTATACGCAGATTTCCTGTGAGTTCTCTTTCGCATGGCCTACAGGAGCTATACATAACTAACGAAGTGAAAAGCGCTGTTTATTTATTTTATAACTGCATATCAACGAGATCTCATTGCTACAGACACGAGCATCGGGTGTCTGGAATGGGTATCTTCTATGGTTGGAATCAACAGTTTTCCTATAGATATTTGGTCCCTGTTTCATCTGTATCGATGTCATCGCGTAATAACAGATCCATGTCTATGTGACTTTCCCTTAGCACACAGGTAACCGATACTGGTGTTGGTAGCCTCTTTGCCTGTCGTCCCTTGAGTCTTCTCAGACCCTGTTTGTAGACAGAACAACAGGTAGCGTAGAAAAGAATCTGCATACTGCGCTACTCATTTTTTTACAGCTGACTGTTCTTGGACTTATTCGAAACAATTAACGAGTGGATCTTCCAGTGCAGGCCCGGAATGATGTATCTAAGCCTTTAAATGTGAACGAACCAAAGGCCTTTTGCATTTGAGAATATACTTATGGGATGATTGGCCTTATTTTTATCGCTATTACACGATTACTCAACGTTGTGATTTCATCCCTAAGGGAATGGGAGTGCGATGCATCAGAGGTTAGGTTTCATTATTCGAGCGTCCTCTATCACTTATTATTGACATTTTTGTACTATTCAAAATGTCTTGGCTTATCTGTTCCGTTTTGTTATGCGTTTTCCTTAGAACATCCATCCATTTTGTGTACTTTCACTTCATTTTTAGGCGCGCTTGGGTTTTCGTCAGCTCTTTCTACTGGCTGATCTCCACGATTGTTCCCACAGCCGTCTTCATGCATCAGGTGGTGTCATTGGTTCAGCGTTGTAAGAAATCTTCCGGTGCTCACAAAGACTATGTGATTGCTTGAAACCCATTCTACTCAGGGACAGACAACACACACTCTTTGTCTTTGCTGATCAGAGCCGCTTTCTTACTCTCTATTTTTTGGAAGAAAATCTTTTTCTATCTACCACTTCTGTTACCTATTAGTCAACAACTAGTCTGTCAGTTCCCAACAGGTTTCCCTTCAGTTACATTGTGATTTACCGACCTATTCAGTGTTCAGTGTATTTTGCCTTAGCTGACGTTTTCATACCTTACTTTTGCGGTCGACCCTCCCTGCTTACTTTGGTGGCACGATTGCCAGTGTCCATTTTTCACAATGTATTGATCTGAATAAATTACCGACCCCCACCGGTCCTTGATTTTCAAACGCCTCTATTTTTCCAGACAAAACATTTGATCTACTTGCTTTCAGAACGAACAAATGCACGCTGCTGACAAGCTCCCTGAACACGTCAACTGGCGTTCATGTATAAAGTTACTTTTATGACTGAATCCACTGTCTGATGCTCTACTAAATCATCGGGCTCACGCGGCTTATTGTACCGGTGTGGGGTGCTTGCCTTTGTCATTAACTGTTTGTCAAGGGATGCAGTATGCAATTCCAGCTTGCCATTTGCTGATTTCATTGAGTGGTCTAAGTGGTCCACCAGCACATACTTCAACACCGCTTGACACTAACATCTTACGTTCGTCTGAGGGTATTGAGGAATCTATGTTCGCCCTGTGGTAAGCTTGCGTAATTTTATCGCGTGGTATTTTTGAATAACTTTCGGACATTTTGTACTTATTGCGTATTCACATTTAACCAATTTCTTCCGTATGCTCATTTAGCGAGTATTTATGTCGTCATATGCGTTTACTTTATTCCATATCGGCATTTCGAATGATTGGCTGTTGTTTGACATCCCAGGTATGGCTGCGTTTGATGTGCATGTTGACAAGGTGCCTACCTGTCTATTACCCACTACCTCGTCCATCTGGCTCCAGGAGACAGTTGGTCGTTGCTGCAGGGGACGGGGTGCACGGTCGTTGTGGTCGTACTAGGCTCGAAGAGTGGTTCCATGCACTCAGTGTGGAGCGGACTGCGGTCCAACCACCGCCTTGTGTGCGGTTGATTCCCCAAATACCGCGTGCTTGTGTTTGCCTGTGAAGGAGTGTGGGCCGGCTCCGTTGATGAAACTTGGCTCCTATCCACATGCATCCCGGTCTTATTCCTTCGGGTTTACACTGGATATGGGGTGTGTGGATGGAGCTGTGGGTGGTCCCATGGTCCCTCTGTAGGCGCAAGCGTCCTGTGGCTGACCACAATGACAGGCAAATCCGAAACCGGATGCCGCCAACCATGTTCGCCCTGTTTACCAAGTGCATGCAGTGCGAATGGTAATACGAATTAAATGCAGTTTGTTTCACAATTTTGATGAGTGGCTCATAAAAATGAATACGTATAAAATCTTGGGAATTGTGTGCAGAACTCGAAATCTACATGCATTGCTCCGAAGGTTACTTTCTGTGCTTAGATTCTGCCTCTATCCAAGCACATGATGATTAATTCTGTAGTGCTTCCACTACACAGCTTGTGCTTTAAGACGCAACCGAGCTTTCGAGGAACAGATACTCACGACCGTGCCGCATGGTATTGCTTCATTCGTTGGGTACAATACCCTAGTGTCACAGTAACACGGATTCCGGCGAAATCGATCCTGCACTACAAACTTGCTGCTAGCCCCAGCAAGGTGAACAGAGTCAGCCGATACCAGTGTGGGAGTCAACGTTGTCTACCTGGATTTCTCGAATGCGTTTGACCTTTTGGACTACCGCATTCTCCTTCCCAGGCTTTGAAGCTATGGAATCGGTGACCCTGTGCTCGGTGGGATCGGCAGCTTCCTCACTCAACGTCAGCTAAATGTGAGAATCCGCGGCTCCATTTCCGACCTAACTGACGTCTGGTGTGGTGTGCGTCGAGGATGGGTACTGGGACCATGTTTATTCCTAACATTCATTAACGATCTTATCAGTTTACTGCAGTCGAATTTCTGTGTCAACTTTTGGGGCTCAAGCTAAACCAGTCAGTATGATGCGCCTCGTCCGTCACTCAAACTCCGTACACTACGGTGAGCCGCGCTTACTCTAGGTAAGACTTCACTCAAGTAATGGTGCAGAGGCAGTCCTCTTGTCAGCCACTCGCCTCCGTACCACCACATGCACTGTTCAAATTTTCCCAGATGTTCCTTGGAGTGAACGGCAGCAAAATCCGGATGATTTCCGTAAACAACAAGACGCAAAATCTATCCTTGTTCACCGTGTCCCCGAGCTCCAGACATTAAGCCAGCTAGAAGCCAAAGCGCATGACTGGGATGAATGGCGTTTTATTCGTGAAGTGCTCTCACTAAAAATGTTATCGCAAATTCGACATCAAGGTTACCGCTATCACCTAACTACAAAGCGTGTGGTCCCCGATTGATGAAAGCATCATTGCACTCCGAACTGCCGGCAGAACATGTGATCAAAATGTGGCACAAAAAGCGTAAAATGCAGCCATCCGAAATACGTGTAAAGGCGATAGGCACCGGGCCACAAATAAACAATGTAACACTGAACAAGCAACTTACCCATACAACTCTGTCACCGTGTAGCTCAGAACGGAGAAAATGCCGAAACACACCAACAGTTGAAGGAGGACAGGATGGTAACCTTATTGGCGCTGAGAGCTCTATACAATAATCTGAGCTGGCCCTAGGGCCTACGTCATCAGTCCTACAAAACGACGAGCAGTTCCTACAAAAGAAGACGAAGACACAAGGGTCGGCATAGACCCTCACCGAAAATGAGCATTCACACACACTCTTCTGACCACCGGTGCCCGCACCTGCTTGTGTACCAATGCACGAGGTCTCAGCAAACTAACTAAACTTCGTATTCGTCAGGTCTCCGCGCCTTGGGACCTAGTTCTGGTCACTGAAACATGGCTGAACACGGAGATCACGAATGCTAAGATTGCACTACCCAGCATGACTTCCAGACGAAAAGATCGACCCATCAGAGGAGGGTGGGTGTTCTTCTATTATCGATCCGACCTGCATTGAGGATCCAGAAATGAAAGTCCTCGATTCTCTCTGGTGTGTTATGCACCTAAGACCTGGTGATGTGTGTTTACTAGCAATTGTTTACCGCCCTCTAATATCCACCTTGGAAATGGATCAGTGCCTAGCTTCTGCGATGAAAGGAGTACTCGCGTAACCACACAGTCACGTCCTTCTAGTGGGAAACTTTAACTTTCACGCAATCGAAGTTCCAGCATTCGACAGCGAACAATTCAAGGCTGATTTGCAAGAGATGATTGCCGATGTATCTCAATACAACCACTCCCACGCGGTTCTGTACGAATGACGCCTCCTCTGTTTTGGGCATTGTGCTCTCCAACGGCGAACTAATGGTCGACACCGTGACCATAGATGCACCACTTGACCGAAGCGATCACGTGCTGTTGCGCTTTCGTTACATCTGCTACGCGGAGTACATCTGTGAGAACAACGTGGAAACCTATGACACTACACATTGCAATATCCTATCCAACCTCTTTCAAGAAACCGACTGGTACTTTCTGGCCGAGAAGCCGCCCGATGTCGCTTGGATGGTGTTTGTCGCCCAATTCACTGAGCTAATGTCAAATGCATCAGAAAGTAAGGTCTTTCGCCTGAAGTAAGTGAACTCGTTCATGATGAGCCGTACTAGAAACTGCATAGTCTTAACGGATTCAGCCTGGCGCGCGTGCAAAATCTGTCCAAGTAACCTGATCTGGGATGCTTACACAACTCAACGAAACCTCTGCTTCAAGTTGCTTCACGAAGACAGACTCCGGCACCGACAGAACTTGGCGGTGAAATTCATTACAAATCCCAAGTTGCTGTACAGACACGTCAACAAGCTCCGCAGAATGCGGGGTGGAATCCCAGTTTTACGTGCAACCGATGCTCTTGCGTAAACCGCACAAAATGTGGCCGACGTGCTTCGCCAACGCTTCTTGCATACTTTCCGGAGTGAAATATCATTTCATCCGCTTCTGATACAGCTTCCATCTCCTCCAGGGCTAAACCACGTATCGTTCACAGCAGCCAATGTGATGAAAAGTCTAATGTCATTGCACGTACAGAGATCACTTGGCATTTACGATATTCAACCGAAGGCATTGAAGGCAGCTGTCATGAACCTTACCGACCCATTAGCTCGGTCCTTTCAACGTTGCCTCGACGAAATGCAAGTTCTGACAATATGGAAACATGAACTAGTCACTCCTATTTACAAAAGTGGTAATCTTGCGGAGCCCTCGAACTACCGTCCAATCACTCTGTTCCCAGCTTTATCCAAAGTAATGGAACGCATAATTGCAGAGACGCTCATGGGATATCTTGAGAACAACAACATCCTCGTGTCACAGCAGAACGGATTCCGCCGAAATCGATCCTGCACTACAAACTTGCTGCCAGCCCCAGCAAGGTGGACAGAGTCAGCCGATGCCTGAGTGTGAGTCGACGTTGTCTACCTGGATTTCTCGAATGCGTTCGATCCTTCGGACCACCGCATTCTCCTTCACAAGCTTTGAAGCTATGGAATCGGTGACCCTGTGCTCGGTGGGATCGGCAGCTTCCTCACTCAACGTCAGCTGAATGTGAGAGTCCGCGGCTCCATTTCCGACCTAATTGACGTCCAGTGTGGCGTGCGTCAAGGATGGGTACTGGGACCACGTTTATTCCTAACATTCATTAACGATCTTGCCAGTTTACTGCAGTCGAATTTCTGTGTCAACTTTTAGGGTTCAAGCTAAACCAGTCAATATGATGCGCCTCGTCCTTCGCTCAAACTCCGTACACTACGGTGAGCCGCGCTTACTCTAGGTAACACTTCAGTCAAGAAATGGTACAGTGGCAATTCTCTTGCCAACCACTCGCCTCCGTACCACCCCATGCACTGTTCGAATTTTCCCTGATGTTCCTTGGAGTGAACGCAAGCAACGCCAGCAAAATC